CAAATGACGCAAGCATGAAGTGCACGAGCACACGGTAGGACGTTAGGATGACATGTACGCATACTGATATACATACAACACCAACCACACCGGCACACGTTCAAGACGCACACGACTTTGTCACCACCATGCAGTAGCTATGGGAGAAGACAAGGCGACACCTCATTACAATGCAGAACTTCCAGAAGAAGTATGCCAATCGCCAGAAACTTAATCACTCGGTAGTAGTCGGATATCAAGTGCTCATCGTCACGCACAACTTGAACATGTCTCACATACCATCCAAGCTTCGGCCTCGCCTTTGTGGTCCTTTTCACGTTGAGGCACAGGTGACACCAGTGACATTCCTCTTGCGCTTACCTATTACGTAGAAGCTTTACAATGCTTTCTATGTTGAGCTACTGAAGCCCTACAAGGACCCCAACCAACAGTTCCAGAGACGGCAGCTACCGCCACCACCATCTGTTCTTGTACAGGATGAATCAGAGTACAAAGTGGAGCGCGTTCTCATTCATCGGCATCGCGGCGGATAGACCCCCGAGTTCCTGATATGCTGGAAGGGTTATGACCCCACAGAGGACAGTTGGGTTGCAAAAGCTGATATGGGCAACGCACACCGTGCTCTCATGGACTATCTTGTCAAGCATGGTGTATCTCACGCCACCCAGCTTTGAGGGGGGGACGTGTAAGAGCACGACGGTTTATGTTGGCATTGCTAGCTTGCGTGGACTTTATTATGCTATTACTAGCTGAAGTCTTATTTATCATGCATAGATATGCTTGACTTCCTAGGTTAGATGCATTCCTATATTCTACTATAGTTATAGCACCGTACCGGATTACCTGTTCCAAACTCAAGCCTTTTCGATTCTCACCCAATTGCTTTCTACCGAGTTCAGGAAGTGTCTGTTCGTGAGGCTTCACGACCCTAGCAACATTCGTGTAATACCTGGGTTACCTGCTTTGTATCCAGACTAGATATAGCCTTGTGTTATACCCAGATGGATCAATCATTTTACAACCCACTTGTATGTGCTCGATCCTACATCCTCACAGATGCAGGGAGGAGAGTAGGCATGGTCGCAATGGAGGAAGTGTCACCGTTGCGGCCAGACCAGTTACATCGAGCACGACTGCGTGCAACCACCGCAACACTTGTGGATTGTTGGGGCATATGAAGCGATAATGCCCCAGGGCGCCAAGCTGCAAGGCGTGCGGAAAGAGGAGTCATAACGAAGAAGACTGCTACTTACGCTGGTCGGCCAAGGGAAGGCCTAAGAATGGGAGATCGAGGAAGAAATGAGGAGGCTACACGTGCAGCTAGAGCGGTTGGAGGAAGATCCAGCACCGGACGGAGCGATGTATGCCGGAGGAGAGGAAAAGGATGTTGGTGTAAGGGCCTAATAAACTCAAGCTATTAAGGCTTAATCAAACTTAAAACCTCTCCTCGGGGTCACCTCCAAGGGTCCTTGGGTGCCTGGTACAGGACCAGCCCCTATCCTCGGGTCCGAGTTTGTAGAGAGAGGAATCAAGAATGACTTCGCCAAAATAACAAGAGTACCTTGAACGCCGCGCAGCGTATCGTGCAGACCGTCAATTGGATTAAGCTGAGAATTTCCTATACCGAAGCTCGCTCCAAGAGCTTTAAAATGAACCAAGTTGCCTCGCAAAAAGTTCTACCATTACGAAGTTATGGCTCGGACAGCGTTTGCCTAGTGTTGGAGTGCTAGCGTACTAGCATAGTATAGGAATGCATTCCGCCGTCGTACCGCGTAGAAACAAAATTCCAGGAAGGGAGGAATTCGCTTGAGTCAAATTGACTATATCCAGGTACAAACAGAGAAGGAATAAATAGTTATAGCTAGCAAGGACCGTGGGAGTAAACCTGGGAACAACCAGGGATGATCCCAAATAATTCCAAGCAACAGAACCAGCCTGGCTGGACAAAACAGCAGGTGGTAGGTTGGTAAACAACCTCTGGTTCTGTTTTTCCAACCTGGGAAAACAACAACCAGGTTCAGGTCCTAAAAACAGAACCTGTTTTGTCTTTGCCCGACCAGCCAAATGCTGGTTCCGCTGGTTTCCCCTGGCCCTATAGCATGCAGACCCAGACAAACAACATCCAACCTTCACCTAAATTGTACCCCTATAGTGCCTGCCTTGCTACACTTTAGTCAATCAAACAAAAGTGTACAATTTCAAGTTGGATAGAAGTGAATCTGCACAGTCAAGTAAGTTGAACCGCAAAGCTTCCTTCTTGGGTTCCTTTGCGAGCTCGTCCTTTCTGCTTGTACTGTTCATAGCACGTACAATGTTGTGCCGAAGCGCACATTGCGCGAGTACCTGCAAATGCATCAAGCAAAAATTGCAAAAGAAAACAACCCCACGAACATTCCATCCACACCCAAATCATTTGCACACGCATACTCGTACAAACAGATGGCAAGATGCCGTGCAATGTGAATTTGCACCCAACACGCTCCCCCTCAGCCTGCCGGCTGCATCCCCATCATTCCATTCTAGTTCATGTTCATTCCACTCATGCGCACACAATGCCAATGAGGCTCATCCGCAAGCCTCTTTGTGAGGAAGTCTGTTGGCTGCTGGTGAGTCTTGAAGTAGATCGGATTCACCGTCCCCCTCTTCACCTCCTTACGCAGCCAGTGCTACTTGATACGCATGTGCTTGTTGAGCCCATGAAGCACAGCGTCCCTGGCCATCCCAAGAGCTCCCTTGCTATCACAAAACAGCGGCGTAGCAACCTTCTGCTACGTTACAGATCAGCTCTATGATCAGAAGGAAAAAGTGGAGTGGGTTGAGCACTGCCTGCTCCCTCTCCTTATATTGAGTTGACACACTCTCTGACTTAGCATCGAGAGCATGTGTCTCCTCCTGCTACACCTGTTCGTACTTATCGTGCTCCCCGTGTTTGTCCTCCAGTTGTCCCTGGTACTCACACTATGCCACTTCGTCCTTCCTCTGTTGCACAGCGTTCTGTCATGCTGTCTCCTTTAGCGTCCTCTCTTTTCTTGTTGTTACTGACACTGAGTCTGACCTTGCTCGTGCTCTCAGTCCGATTGTCACTCGTTGTCTGGCCACACTTGTCACTGACCTTACTTTTGAGACTGCTGCTGCGTGTGCCTTAGTCTCTGTGCTAGTTGACTGTTGTGCTGCCGTTCGTCTTGACTACTTCGCGAGTCTTGTTTCTGAATTCATCTGTCCATCGGGGGTGAGCCCACGCTTGGCTGTGACGTCTTTGAGGATAGACAGTTTGGGCTTGAGTGCTTTGCGGCATCTGTACCACATCTTGCTGCCATTCTGCTTGCCCCTAAGTGAGACCCGGATGCACTGGACATCCCGACCCCTTGCTCTTACGCAGTGGCGATCATGGGCCAGTACTCCTCTCTATGGCAGACAGCAAGGTGCATTACGTTGCATGAGGCTGCAGTCAGTGGCAGGGGGTCAACTTCTTCAATACCTTCTCCCCCACCTCAAAGATGATCACTCTTCGGGTGTTATTGCACGTTGCAGCACAGCGTGACCATGAGCTGCACTCTTTCGACTTCTCCACCACATTCTTGCAAGGCAACCTACAGAAGGAAATCTGGCTACGCCGTCCACCTGGCTGAACTGGGTCGTTTCCTGAGAGTACCCAGTGAAGCCTTGGGCCGCCAGTCTACGGTCTCCATCAAACGCCCCGCGAGTGGCACGACTGACCGAGGACGACACTTGCGGCTCTCGGCTTTACTCTTTCGACTGCTGACCCGTCGCTGTTTTTGAGCACCGACCCTTCTCTGCCGTCGGTCTACATCCTCATCTACATCAACGACTTGGTCTTTGCTACTGCTGACACTGAGGCACCGGCCCTTGTGAAGGCGGAGCTGCATAAGAGACACACATTCACTGACCTGGGTGTGCTTTGGAGCTATCTTGTCTTGTAGATCGCCTAGGACAGAGCAGAGCGCACCATCACTCTGACTCAGTCACGCATGGTGCAGCAGGTCCTTCAGCGCTTCTGCTTTCAGTTCTCCTCACCACAGCCCACTCCTTTGCCTACGAACCACTGGCTCTGAGCTCCACAGTCCGTAGAGCTTGTGGTATGCCTCATGTACCTGACGACATGCACCCGACCTGACCTTGCGTACCCTCTCAGCATCTTTGCGCGCTACGTTGCGGCCAGGAGATACCAGCCTGAGCACTACTGGGCTTCGCTAAGGGTATTGCGGTACTTGTGCAGTATATCAAGCATGGGGCTTGTGCTCGGAGGACGGGGTCAAGCTGTGCCCACTGGTCTCTCAGACGCTTCATAGGCCAATGACCAGGAGAACTAGCGGTCGTCACAGGGTTACACTTTCAGTCTCGACACTTCTTCTATCTTGTGGAGGTCCACTTGCTCGTCTTTTGTACCTAGTTCCAGCTGTGAGGCCGAGATCTACGTTGGGGCTATGGCTATGCAGGATTTATGCTGGCTGACCTACTCGCTGACTTGGGTGAGCGGCCTCGTTCTCCTCCGGTTTTGTACGTCGACAACAAGGCCATGATTGCCTTATGTCGTGAGCAGAGACTGGAGCACAGAACGAAGCACTTTGCTCTTTGATACTTTCTCGCACAAGAGTTGCACCATCGTGGTCAGCTTCGCCTTGCTTATGTGGTCTAACAGGCCAACACTACTGATATCTTTACCAAGGCCTTGGTATCTGGTGATCATTAGCGTTTCTACACTGCACTGGAGCTTGTGCCCAATCTGCCTCTCTTGCTTCTCTCTTGATCTCGCCTTCCCTTTGTTGAACACTGCTGTATATCTTTATACATGCATGTTTACACTTGCTAAGTTGTGATCAGTACACTGCTTTTGGTATTATAACTTTGCATGTGAACTGGCCTTGTGGCCGCTTGCTTGTGCTTATGAACTGGCCTTGTGGACGCTTGCTTGTACATGTGAACTGGCCTTGATTGATCTTGTGACAATTAATTTGTTCTTGCTATCCCCCACTTCACCTATGGGGGTGTGCCAAATTATATGCTACTGTTAGTGTTTAGGCTGTAGTGGGGTAGCACATTTGGGGTACAACCTTTTTAGGGTTAGTACTTGTTTCATAGTCAATCATTCCTACCAATTGTTTCTAACACGACACAATGGCATGGATGGCTACAACATGTAAGAATAGAGTAGGAGTTTTTTAAACAAAGTAAGTTTATGTTAACATATATTTGATATGTGTTGCTTAGTTTAGTCCAAGTGTTACAACTGTGTTTGCTTGCACGATTAGGGTTTCCTATATCTACGGTTTTACTTGTCGTTGCTAGTCATTCATTCCATAGTTTGCATTCTAACATGGAATCAGAGCCTCGTTTGATCCAATGGGTCCACCGCCCCGTACCTAGCCCGATCCAATAGCTCCCCGTCACCCATAGCGCCTCGTTGCACGTAGCGCCTCGTTGCCCGTAGCGCCCGTTTAGGTTGCCTTCCCGTCGCCTCCGCGTCCCCTCCTCGTCGCCTTCCCCTCAACTCTCCATCCCCTCCCCGTCGCCTTCCCGTCAAGTTTCCCCCCTCCCCATCGCCTTCCCGTCGACTCCCCGTCTCCTCCCTGACGCCTCCCCATCGCGTCCCCTCCCCGTCACCTTCCTTTCGCCTCCCCGTCCCCTCCTGGTCGCCTTCTTGTCGCCTCCGTACCGCATCCCCTCCCCATCGTCTCCCCTCCCCGTCAACTCCACGTCCCCTCCCCATCGCCTTCCCATCACCTCCGCGTCGTGTCCCCTCCCCGTCGCCTCCCCGCCGCGTCCCCTCCCCATCGCCTCACCGTCGCTTCTCCTCCGTGTCACCAATCCGTTGCCTCCCCGTTGCATCCCCTCCGCGCCGCCTTCCCCTCGCCTCCCCTTCGCATCCCCTTGCGGTCGCGTCCCCTCCCCGTCACCTCCCCGTCGCCTCCCCGTCAAATCCCCTCCCCATCGCTTTCCCGTTGCCTCCCCTTCCCCTCCTCGTCTCCATTTTGTTGCCTCCCCGCCACATCCTGCTGCCTTCCCATCACGTCCCCCTTCCCGTCGCTTCCCATCACCGCGTCCCCTACCCGTCGCCTTCCTGTCGCCACATCATCACCTCCCCTTCCCCTCCCCGTCTCCTTCCCATCGCATCCCCCCCACCTTGTTGGTGTAAGGGCCTAATAAACTCAAGCTATTAAGGCTTTATCACACTTAAAACCTCTCCTCGGGGTCACCTCCAAGGGTCCTTGGGTGCCTAGTACAAGACCAGCCCCTATCCTCGGGTCCGAGTTGGTAGAGAGAGGTATCAAGAGGGACTTAGTCAAAACATCAAGAGTACCTTGAACGTCGCGCAGCGTATCGTGCAGACCGTCGATCCGATTAAGCTGAGAATTTCCTATATCGAAGCTCGCTCCAAAACCTTAACAATAAACCAAAGTTGCCTCGTGAAAAGTTCTGCCATTACGAAGTTATGGCTCGGACAGTGTTTGCCTAGTGTCAGAGTGCTAGCGTACTAGCGTTGACTCGGGTAGCATTCTGCCGTCGCACCGCGTAGAAACGAAATTCCTGGAAGGGAGGAATTCGCTTGAATCAAATTGACTATATTTAGGTACAAACAGAGAAGGAATAAATAGCTCTGGCTAGCAAGGACCTTGGGAATCAACCTGGGAACAACCAGGGATGATCCCAAATAATTCCAAGCAACAGAACCAACCAGGCTGGACAAAACAGCAGGTGGTAGGTTGGTAAACAACCTCTGGTTCTGTTTTTCCAACCTGGGAAAACAGCAACCACGTGCAGGTCCTAAGAATAGAACCTCTTTTGTCTTTGCCCAACCAGCCAAATGCTGGTTCCGCTGGTTTCCCATGGCCCTGTAGCACGCAGATACAGACAAACAACATCCAACCTTCACCTAAATTGTACCCCTATAGTGCGTGCCCTGCTACACTATAGTCAACCAAACAAAACAGTACAATTTCGAGTTGGATAGAACTAAATCTGCACAATCAATTCAACCGAACCGCAAAGCTTCCATCTTGGGTTCCTTTGCGAGCTCGTCCTTTTTGCTTGCACTTTTCATAGCGTGTACAATGTTGTGCCGAAGCGCACATTGCGCGAGTACCTGCAAATGCTTCAAGCGAAAATTGCAAAAGCAAACAAACATACGAACATTCCAATCACACGCAAACACATTCGCACACGTATACTCATACAAACAGACGGCAGGATGTCGTGCAATGTGAATTTGCACCCAACACACTCCCCCTCAGCTTGCTGGCTGCATCCCCATCATTCCATACTAGTTCATGCTCATTCCACTCATGCGCACACAACGCCAATGAGGCTCATCTGCAAGCCTCTTGGTTAGGAAGTCTGCTGGCTGCTGGTGAGTCTTGATGTAGATCGGATTCACCGTCCTCCTCTTCACCTGCTTACGTAGCCAGTGCCACTTGATACGTATGTGCTTGTTCAGCCCATGAAGCACAGCGTTCCTGGCCATCCCAAGAGCTCCTTTGCTATCACAAAATAGCGGCGTAGCAACCTTTTGGTCCTTGCCAATTTCCTCTAACAGCCTTTTTAGCCAAATCACCTCCTTCACTCCGTGAAACATTGCCATGTACTCTCACTCCACGGAAGAGAGTGCCGTCTCCGTCTGCTTCTTGGACCTCCAACTAACAGGTCCTCCCCCGACTACGTAGATGTATCCTGCTGCAGATGAGGAATACTCCTTCTCAGAGGCCCACGTAGCATCAATAAAGCAAGTGAGAAACAGCTTGCATTCTCAAAGCCTCTCCCCCTTCTCTTTCAGCAACTCAACCCCTTTCTTCTTCACCTGTGCAGATGCGGAGTATTGAACTCCAATGCTTGGGTGAGAGTTTAGATACTTCACCACACGCTCAGCTGCATCCACCTGCTCCTCTGACGGATTCTACACCACCTTAGCTAGCTGCCCAACTGACAAAAAGAGATGTCGGGCCTCGTATGAACTACTACATATAAGAGGCTGCCCACCAAGGACTGAAATTGCTGCTGCTCCTTGGCTTCAACCCCTTCATCCTCTGCAGCTTTCACAAGCTTGAATTCTGCTGGCAGGGGAGTTGCAACTTTGCGCTCATTCTTAGTCCTGTACTTCTCCCACAGCTCCTTGATGGACTTCTCTTGATGCAGCTTCAACCAGCTGTGATCTGGATCCCTCTCCACGTGCATCCCGAGGTAGTACTTAACCTCCACAAGGTTCTTGCACTTGAACTTCTCCATCAGCTGCTGCTGCACATTCTGGATCTCCTTCATGCTGCTGCTAAAGAGAAGAATGTCGTACACATAGACCAGAAACAGCACCAGCTTCTCTCCCTCCCCCTTGAGAAAGAGGCTCTCATCACAGCTGCTGGTCATGAATCCCATCTCCTCTAAAACAGCTGCCAACTTCTGGTACCAGTAGCGTGGCGCCTGCTTCAAGCCGTAGATGGACTTCTTCAGCTTGCACACCCTACCCGTACCATCCTCATTGTTGGGTGAAAATTCACATTGCACGACATCCTGCCGTCTGTTTGTACAAGTATGCGTGTGCGAATGCATTTGGGTATGAATGGAATGTTCAAGTGTTTGTTTGCTTTCGCAATTTTCGCTTGAAGCATTTGCTGGTACTCGTGCATTGTGTGCTTTGGCACAACATTGTACGCACTATGAACAGTACAAGCAGAAAGGACGAGCTCGCAAAGGAACCCAAGATGGAAGCTTTGCGGTTCGGTTGAATTGATTGTTCAGATTCAGTTCTATCCAACTCGAAATTGTACTGTTTTGTTTTGTTGACTATTGTGTAGCAGGGCAGGCACTATAGGGGTACAATTTAGGTGAAGGTTGGATGTTGTTTGTCTGTATCTGCATGGTACAAGGCCAGGGGAAACCAGTGGAACGAGCATTTGGCTGGTTGGGTAAAGACAAATCAGGTTCTGTTTTTTAGGACCTGAACCTGGTTGTTGTTTTCCCAGGTTGGAACCAGAGGTTGTTTACCAACCTACCACCTGCTGTTTTGTCCAGCCACGTTGGTTCTGTTGCTTGGAATTATTTGGGATCATCCCTGGTTGTTCCCAGGTTTATTCCCAAGGTCCTTGCTAGCTAGAACTATTTATTCCTTCTCTGTTTGTACCTGAATATAGTCAATTTGATTCAAGCGAATTCCTCCCTTCCTGGAAGTTTGTTTCTACGCGGTGCAACGGCGGAATGCTACCCGAGTCAACGCTACTACGCTAGCACTCCAACACTAGGCCAACGCTGTCGGAGCCATAACTTCATGCTGGCAGAACTTTTCGCGAGGCAACTTGGTTCATTTTAAAGCTCTTAGAGCGAGCTTTGATATAGGAAATTCTCAGCTTAATCCGATCGACGGTCTGCACGATACGCTGCGCGACGTTCAAGGTACTCTTGCTGTTTTGACTAAGTCCCTCTTAAACCCTCTCTCTACAAACTCGGACCCGAGGATAGGGGCTGGTCTTGTACTAGGCACCCAAGGACCCTTGGAGGTGACCGCGAGGAGAGGTTGAGTCTGATTAAGTCTTAATAGCTTGAGTTTATTAGGCCCTTATACCAACAAGCTGGTATCAGAGCCGCGTTATAGCGATCCTCGTTATAGGTAGCTATGGTGGGCAACACCTCGACAGGAGCTGGTAAATCCTCAGCCCAAGATCGTAGTGGCAGCCAACATTCTGGTGTTTTAGCGCCAAGGGGAGCATGAACAAGCCAGGGCTCGTTGGTGAGAAGTTCAATGGTGAAGGCTATGATGATTGGGCCTGGAAGTGCAACTCTATTTCCGTCAGATTGGATTGCTGAAACTAATGATTGGGGAGGAGCCTAGACAAAGTGACCCCACGCTGCAGGAAGATTGGGACGAGCGCTCCTCGGCTATCTACTATTTGATGTCGCAGAGTTTGGAGCTGAACCAGCGTCACCATGTTATGCACCTGCTATCAGAGGTTGAGCGCGGTCCGAAGGGGTGGACCATGTTGAAGGAGCTGCACGCCCCGACCTCCGTTGTTGCAACGTTGATGCTGGAGAGGGAGCTGTCCGCGTTGCGCCTTAGTGAGGGAGAGCTGGTGCAACCTGTCCTGGACAAGATGCGCGACCTCTCGCGAAGTTGGCGACCGCGGGAATCACCTACCCGGAGCAAACCAAGTGTTTGAAGATGCTCTCGCTGCTGTCGGAATCGTGGCTTCAATTCACGAGCGGATTGAGCCTGCCGCAGAACCAGAGCTCGTGGACACTCGAGTGGGTGCGGACAAAGATTCTGGAGGAGGACTTCCATCGCCGCCAACTGAGGGGTTGAGACGAAGGCATCAGCGGCTACGGGATGCAAGGGAGCCGACGTGGCAGTGGATGTGGCTTCGGTGGTGCTGGACATGGTGCAAAGAAGGACGATAACTTCAACGACCAACAAGGAGGTACCGGTTGGGGTCGCGGTGCGAAATCTGGACGTGGGGGTAAGTCAGGTGCTGGTGGCAAAATGAAAGGGAGTTGCTGGTATTGTGAGAAGGAGGGGCACCCCTGGTTTTTGTGCTATAAGAAACCCGATGGATGGACCCCCCAGAATCGTCACCAGGATGGCAGTGCGCGGAGGAACCAGAAAAACGGCACGAGCATGGTCGCTGATTCTTCCGACAACAACCCGAAGAGCAACGGCGGTGCGGAAAAGAAGAAGGAGCGCACCGCGGGCCAATTCTTCCATATTGGAGAGCAGGGGGAGCAAGGAGACGCATCTGCCAAGGTTGGAGCAGAGCTGCACCCTATGGATTATTGGGTGTTGGACACGGGCGCTGCTTGGACGATGACGCCGCGCAAGGACCTGCTGGACAACGTACGAGCTGCACCGATCAAGGAGGTGTGCTCCGCCTCTGGACATGCGCTGAAGGCGGCTGGTGCGGGACGAGCTGCGTTTAAGGGAGCGGATGGCAAGCCGGTGGTGCTGCACGACGTTCTCCTCGTTCCTGAACTCAAGGCCAACCTCATCTCCCTCCGTAAGCTTGGCAAGGCTGGGGTGAGCACTAGCACGGATGGGGCACGCACTTACAAGGGGCAGCTGGGCAATCGGGTGCTTTGGGATCTGCACGTGAGCACGGACGTGTACAGATCCATGTGGCAGCTGCCGGCGTTGGCGTGGCATGGTGGGGGGCAGGTTGGAGA